AATGGGCTCCAGTTTCATCCATCTCATTAGAACTGATTCAAATGAATTCTTTTTAATGGCTGAGTAATATTCCATGGTGTATATGTACCACAGCTTCCTCATCCATTCGTCTGCTGATGGGCATCTAAGGTTGCTTCCATGTCCTGGCTATTATAAACAGTGCTGCGATGAACATTGGGGTGCACATGTCTCTTTCAGATCTGGTTTCCTTGGTGTGTATGGATTATTTTTTAAGAAGCAGCAGACAGCGGAGAAGCTCTGAAAAATGAGCAGAGGTTACCCTTTTGTAAGAGCTATTTACATTTATAAGGGAAATGTCTGTCTCTGAACCGGGAAGAGAAGGGTAGATAATGTCAAGAAAGTTTTAGTTTTCCTGGGTATCTCCCATGTATATAGGAAGTATACATACTGTTAAACTTCTGTTTCTTTTTTCTGTTATGCTGTCTTTTATTATTTACTCAGCCAAGAACCGCCAAGGGTAGAGGGGGAGTTATTTTTCCTCCGCCACTTCCTCGACTCTTTCTAGAGCCACATTTCTCTGCTTCCGCCCTTTGCTGCAGCAGCCACCCTTCAGATCTCCCCAGAGGTTCCTGCCCAAGATTTGTCATCAGACCGAAACTTTGCCTGAGTTTCACTGAGAGATGTAATCAAAGCTTAAGGCATGAGCACCATTGCCAGCTATCACTCTGAAGTTCTCCCCACAGCTTTTACTGTGACAATCCACAGGTCCATGAAGGTTTTTGGCTGAATCTTTGTGGTATTCACAGATCAAGACTTCAGGCTTACAGGTTTTTCAGTCGATCATACTTTTGATTCCCTTTTTGACATTCAGGTCTCAGAGAAATCATTGGCTTGGTGGTTAGCAGCTGAGGACACACATTTAAAGCTTTTAGGAGAATATAGGACGCTAGAGAGACTACTATGATGATTACAAGCCAGACAATTCCCAATGTCTGGAGTGCACTTCAGAGCCATGGTCCCCAAGACCCAAAGGAATCAAAATCAAACCTGTCAAAGAAAGATCACTTTGAGGGGTCTTTAGAGGGATCACCTTTCGAAGTGGCTTATTCAGTAATCTTAGGTAGCTGAGTTCAGCCTCCCCAGAAGTGTTAATTTAGGTATGATAGGTGGTGGTGGCCATAGCATAGATACCTACTTGTTCAGCTAAAAGAAAATCTAGAACAACTTCGGCTAGAGAGTCTAAGGATTTTTGTTGGACAGGTATTGCCCCAGCAGTACATTCAGCAAAGTCTTCCAGAGTTGAGGAGAGATTCCTGATCATACAGCCTCATCTGTACTCACTCCTAACCAGGAGTAGAGGGACTTGTAAGCAAATCCTGAATCATGAAGGCCTCCTGGTAGGTCCTTTCTAATTTGATGATGTAAATTCTGGGGAGTTGACGCAATGAGGTGAAGAATTTGCATAGGGTCTTAAAGAACAATCTCTCTTCCAGCATCCCCATTGATTACAACTGAGATATCAATCCCTGGGGAAGCATTTTGATGATGGGTCCCTAGGAGGATGTAATAGGGGAGGCCTGGGTGTTGTTCTAGATACTTTTTGTGTTTTTAGTAAGATTTTGCTGTTTTTATAGGTATTTATAGCTTCTGGAACCATCTTTCTTAGACATAAAATAGGCAGGTATGCCAGAAGGTGGCGTGCTTCACTCTTTGGAGCTTAAGAATCCTGTTCGGTTTTTAGCTAAGATTTTGGGTCTCTTGAAGCTAAACTAACACCTGAAAGGAACTGCCACCGGGTTGGAGATTATGTGGTGTTTTACAAGTGTTATCTCTTTGCATGGAAATTTTATTGATGTTGGCATTCTATGACCAAATTTTCCTAAAGTGGGGTCTCTGTCTTAGGTGATGAGCACTAACAGCTTTTAAATGCTCATCGGCTTTTGTGGCTTGTTGGCTTGGAAGCTTCCCGTTAACAATAGCCTTTATCTACACTAAGACAGACAAACAAGCATGTGCATCTTAACACACCAGCAGTAACCAAGAAATGTCACTGCAGCTTGGCCAAGAAAAGTCCCTGTGTGTCCCACCAACAATTCCCATGAATCTGGGGGCTGGAAAAAAGACTGAACCAGCAGATGCCAAACAATGGGGGCTGCAGACTGACTCCAAACAATTAGGAACCGCAGCTGCTCCCAGCAGTCCCCAGCCTACAACCTGGCAAAGATCTCAGACGGATGTGGGACTGCAGACTGAAGACCAGCAGTCCCCACTGCGGAGTCTGGGGACAAACCAGCTGCGGAGGGTCTCCGCTCAAGTTGGGGAATCACGGTCTGAACAGCGGGCTGGGGGACTGGGTTCTGGCTGGACTCATCTGCCAGCTCGAGCTGAACGGCCCTGGGTTGGAACACCACTTGCATTAGGAGGCTGACACAGAGTGGCCCTCAGAACCTAGAGAAACTTATCAGCGGCCCTTGGAAACAGCGAGAGACAGAGAACGCAAAAGGGCTTGCAGGGACCAGGCCTGTTTCTTGTTGTCTCTGAAGCCATCAGAGGCCTCCTTCAGCGCTACTGTTGACAGTGAATCTCTTAAAAAACTACTCAACTGAGTAAATTTGAAGGTTTAATAGGCTTTATTCAACAATTCAGGACTGGGCAGCGTTCCGTTTATCACATAGAAAAGAGCTCTAAAGAACCGTACAAAATAGAAGGCTTTTATAGGCAAAAGGGACCAGGAAAAGGAAGTTTCTATCAAAGAGTTGTTAAAAAAAAATAGGCACAAAATGGAGTCACTTGTGCTAAGCTCTATGCCAGCAAAACAATCTTAATTGCTGTTTCAGCCTCTCCCAGGAAGGTGAGTTTTAAGCAGTGAATGTGAAATTACCTAGCCAGCACAAGGGAGGTAATCACCCTATAGACACTTACCTTCCCCCAGAGGAAGGTGGTCTTGTCTGAAACAATCCCTTCTTTTATTTGTGACTTCCTTGTCCCATCCTCTTTCTGCCTTTAAAAACTTGTTCTTTTAACAACTCTTTAGAGCACCTTTCTATTTGCTAGATGGAATGCCGCTTGATTCAAATATGATATAATTAGAAGCTCAGTCATGTTCAACTCTTTGCAACCTCATGGATTGCAGCCTGCCAGGCTCCTCTATCCATGGAATCCTCCAGGCAAGAATACTGGAGTGGGTAGGCATTCCCTTCTCCAGGGAATCTTCCCAACCCAGGGATCCAACCCGGGTCTCCTGCATTGCAGGCAGATTCTTTACCATCTGAGCCGCGAGGGAAGGCCACTTGATTCATGGATCATTGAATAAAGTCAGTTAGATCTCCAAACTTAGTTGAGTTTTGCTTTTCAACAGAGCAGATTGTCTCAGGCAGTCCACTTTTGTCTTCCTTTAAGTAACTCCAGGTAATTCCAGATTGCCTGGTTAAAGGTCACGTTCCTGGGAGAGGCTAAGATTGCAGTTAGGGTAGGCATTAAGTCTTGGACAACCGACATGGGACTTAGTACAAGTGATTCCATTTGGGGCTGTTTCTTTTATTAACACAACCGGTAGACTCCTAAGCTCTAGCATGACTGTGAGACAGTAGGCTGCAAGACTCGAGTCTTGGGCCTGTTCAATCTTTCTGACCAACTGCCTTAACCATCTCTGGAGTGCTGACCCCAGTAAATGTACTTCACATGTTTACAAATCCCCTAAAGTTGTAGATTAAAGTTTACATTATTTATACCTGTGATTTTGTGATTTATAATAAGAAATAAATGTATTTGATCTTCACCACCATTTCTAACAGGCTTCTCTGATAGCTCAGTTGGTAAAGAATCTACCTGCAATGCAGGAGACCCCAGTTTGATTCCTGGGTTGGGAAGACCCCCTGGAGAAGGGATAGGCTACCCACTCCATTATTCTTGCCTGGAGAATCCCATGGACAGAGGATCCTGGCGGACTACAGTCCATGGGGTCACAAAGAGTTGAACACAGCTGAGCGACCAAGCACACCATTTCTAACACAGAGCTCCTAAAACAACTGGAAGTTCCTAAGTGATGAGAGCCATAGTCAT